CTTTCTCTCTTTCTCGTTTTATACATATACATATTATACAATTGATCTTTTGTATACAATTGCTTTCTTTGTATATGTATAGCGAATTATACAACTGTTTTTTTTTGTATATGTATAGCTAATTATACATATATATGTTTGCTATGGAGTGCAATTATGCAAATTTTGCTATAACATACAAATATGAATTTTGTGTTTGCTATATGTGAAAGTTGCTCTATATATTACGTAATAAACTATTTATATCTTTCGTTGCATTTTGCCAATAAAAAATGTCATAGTTGTTCTCAAGAGATTACAAATATCTTCAAGAGTTAACAACCTAAATATTTAGTGACGTGACAAGCCACGTAGGACTAGTCTATCTACTTAAGCATTGCCAATTAGGATTCATCACAAGAAAATGAACCTTTAGAGGCGACTAAAGTGGCCACAAATATGAATATCGTTACTAAAGGTTTTTACTGATTTTTAGCAGCGATTGAAGGCCTTAAATGCCACTGATTTTTAGTGGCAACTAAACATCGCCACTAAAACCTATTTTTTCAACAAAAAATATATGTTAATTAATTTTCAATTACGAGCTAGTTTTCTAAAATTAATATACATGTCTTATCAATATTAAAAACATCCAATATTATTACGAAAAAACATCAAAATTACTTCTCAAATTGAATCTCCTATTACGTACGCAATCTATTGTTGTACACTTTATGCATTCACATATGACATAAAAATAAACATATGCTCATACTCCTGCTTGATCAACGTCATTTGTGATTTTTTTAAAAACAATATCCTTATTATGAAGAAGAAGAAAGAGCAAAATCATTCTTGTAATCTAGTGCTAAAAATCAGTGAAAGTCTTTAGTGGCGATATTCTGGAACTTTGTGGCGATTGTTACCGTCGCTAAATGTAACATCTCGCACCTAGAAACGACTATAAAGAGTTTAAAAATATGAAAATATTGATTTTTGGAAAGAATAAGGAAAATCTGAATTTTTTTGTCTAAGTTAAGAAAGTAAGTTTTGGCCATTTTCAAAAGGCCATAACTCCCATAACTCCTAGCTCAGGATGAGTTAGGAGCAGCTCTTGATATGGTTGGAAATCCCTTGGAGATATCTTTCCAACGCCGCCAAGTTTGCGCTATTTCGACATCATATGAGTGAGATATGCCTTTCGGAAGTTGGGTTGTTGGATTGAGGAAAGTCCCAATCCGGATTTAGGGAAGGGCAAAGTAGTCTTTTCTCTAATTTATTTACTAATTCATTTTTAGGGATTTATTGGGGTAAAAACTTATTTTTGGTCAGATTAGAAAATTAAATTCACGCTTAGGGCTTGGAGAAAAGAGAAAGGAAGAAAGAAAGGGAGAAAAGCCAAGATTTCGCCAAGAACGTTCAAGCCTTGCGAGTGGAATTCGTCGGGGGTGATCCCTACAAGGTATGTGAGATCACATGGTGTTGGGTTATTTCACCCACACGCCAAACTTGTTTCAATTCAACAAATTTGGAGTTGTTTGAATGATAAGAAAGTGAAGTTCTTGAAGAACATTGTTGAATTCTTGTTGGTTGATTGTTGAATGCCTAGTGTTGATTTGATTCGTGTTTCCGGGTTATTTTTTGAGTTAAATCTATTGGGTATTGAGGGTATTAATGATCCTAAGTGGTTGGGGAAAGAACTATGGAAGTTTAGAGGGTTTAGAGATGAAAAATGAAGGAGAAAAATTAGAGTTTTCTGGGCAAGGGATTGGGGCGCCGCGCCTGCCAGAGCGCCACAAAGTTCCTCTGAACTTTGGCCTCTGGCGCGTCGCGCTAGCCAGAGCGCCACAGAAAGTTCTCTGAACTTTGAGGGCTGGCTCCCCGCGCCTCTCAGAGCGCTAGGGACGTCAGTTCTCCCTATTCGTTCCCCACTTTTTTGTACGTGTTCCTTACTGATGTACCTACGTTTTCTAGTTGATTCCAACACTCTAAGGTACATCTAGATATCATGAAATCATCCATAAACATGAGATCATGAACCTTGAATCCATAATCCAATCCAAGGAAAGTTAAGATCAAAGACAAGAGAAGTAAAAGTCAAGTCAAGATAAGTTCTTAAGTTTTCCAAAAGTCTTTTCCAAATGTTTTAACTTTGTTTTAAGACTTAAAGTTCAAGTTGAGTAAAGAGTAAAGAGTAAAGTTTGAAGTTCATTTCTTCAAAAGTATATGGGAACTAAGTATTCCCAAAGAGATTTAAAATGTTTTCACATTTAAATAAGACGGAAATTGAGATTTCCAAAGAGCCTTCGGGCTAGTTTTCAGAAAAAGTAATCGCTTTCTAAATGGAGCAAGAGGGGAAATTTTGATTTCCAAGATAGCCTTTAAGCTAAGTTTTTGAGCACTAATCTCAAATCACAGAAGAAATATTTTTTTAGAACATAAGAGCCAGTATATTTTGGGAGTAGTATTGAGCACCGAATTGGGGACGAGCATGAGTTTAGATAGCTCACTTCATCATATAACCATGTAGCCATCATAGGTAGAAAAGGGTCATACTTTTTAGATGAATCATTTTCGCAATAAACTAGTGGATCCATTAGGCAGTTCAGGTTCTATACCTTTGGCCGGATATAGGATGCACTGGCAGCGTGAGGTAGATCGATGTATCATCACTATAACTCTTATGTGATGGTTGTCGGTTAGAGAAACTCCCACAGAAGTTATTGTATTTTTATATACATCAGTTTATTGTATTTTACATACATTTCAGAGTTATGTTGTATCCTTGTACATACACAGAGTTGAGATCATGTTTTTAAACAACTTTTCTTTATATTACACTTGTTTAAACTGCTTTATATTGTAATGAGTTCAGTTAAGTATTCATGAGTTGAGCAGAGCCAATGTAAGTGTTTCTTTCAGATTCTTTTTCCAGCCTATGTTGTTTTAGCATTCGAACTCGCATACTCGTACATTCAATGTACTGATGCTAGTTGACCTGCATCTTATTATGATGCAGACATAGGTAGCTAGGATCGGCATTCCAGTGCATCGTTGATCCAGTGAGTAGTTCAGAGTCAGTCGGTGAGCCTCTTTGCATTTCAGAGGACTCTTTTTATTGCTTTCTAGTTAGTTCGTTAGGATGTTGTGGGGATTGTCCCAACATCCATCTCAGTTGTTTTAGAGGCTTCATAGACAGTCAGATGTTAGTCCTTTGAGTCTTTTCATTATCAGATCTTATTGTTAAGACTTGGGTTGCCACTTTTGGCCAAGTTGAATGTTTAATCTTTAATACACTCTCAGTTATTCTATTTCAGTTCAGTTAAGTTCATTTATTGTTACAAATATGAATATTGACTTCCGCTGAGTTAAGTAAGTCAGGCCAAGGGTTCGCTTGGGGCCAGCAATGGTCTTCGAGTGCCAGTCCCGCCCAGGGTGTAGGCTCGGGGCGTGACACTAAAGGTCCAGTTTCTTGTAGTGCAACGCTTAAGTGGAGGAATTAGTCTCACATGACTTGTCGCATCACTAAAAATATGAATTATTAACTTTTGAGGGTATTTGTAATTGATCTCTTGAGATAACGATGGAATATTTACATAATATACCACTTAAATGCAAGATCTAGTTTGACCCTAATTCCATCTTCTATCTCATGTTAATTATCTCACGATTATCGCGTTCATCTCACCCCAAACTTTATTATGAAAAAGAAGTTATCGATGTAAAATTTTATTTTCTAATTATTGAATTTCCTGTCTTTATTAGTTCACAAATTATGACCTCGTTTCATTACACTTCTTGAATGTTTCCAACATAACTAGTCCTGGAAATCCGAATTTAACTATATATATATTTTTTTGGTAAACAATTATATTACATTTTACTATGTATCTAGTTCTATAACGTAACTCTTACTTTTATAATGTAAGGACAGAACGTAATAGTAATAAAGGAAAAGTTTTACTCATAACAAGCTCAATGCCATTTCTTAAATCTGTTTTATTTTAGTACGAAGAACTTACAGAAATCCTACTAGTTTAGGAGCTAATTAATATATTAGATACACGCTAGTTTGTAATTGTACAAATCTTATAAGATTTTGGTGCGTCTACATACAAATCTCGGAATACACAGGTCAAAATTAATTGTTATTTGTTTTAGATACACGGTATCTAAGTGGATTTACATGTATCTGGGGATACATAGACAAATCTCATTCTCCTCCCTACCATTGCGCTCATCACTCTCCTGTCTCATTCACGTATATATCTAGTATTCAGATACATGTATCTAATATGATTCACATGTCTATGAAATACATAGAAAAATTCCACTCGTCTCCCTCTTGTTCTCACTCGCCTATCTTCCTAGTGTATCTGATAGCAAAACACATGTATCTAGGTGTATGTGATTTGAAATCTAGTATGAAATTATTAATTAATAAATTTAAATATAATTATTTCCAATTAGTAAATATCTGTACTGTTTTAAAAGGCGGGGGCGTGAAGCGAGACTTTTAAGTAGTACCGGGCGAGACTTAAGCCCCGAGACATGGGGCGTAAGTCTTATGGATCTACGGAGAGTAGTCTCATGTATATTCAATTTTTTTAATTTTATTACTAAGAAAATAAGCAAAAGTAAAACTTTCAAATATTTTACAAATAAATTTGATAAATAACCTATAATATATAGAAAAGATTATTATGATTTTCATTTGAGCAAGATATTAATAACCAATAATGAAGAAAAAAAATATTACAATTACTATTTGAGAAATGTCATTACACCAACAATAAAAAATACGATTTAAAGCAAAAAAAATTCAAAAACCAAAAAAAGAAAAAAAAACCGTCCAGGGCGTACGTTTTTACGTCCAGGACTTACGTTTTTATGTTTTGAGCTTACGCCCTATGGATCTACGTCTTTCGTTTGCACCCTAGAGCGTTTTTGGTACGCCTCGCCCTGAAACTCGCCCGGGACTCCCTCCAAAAAATATTTTTGAAAACACTGATAAATATAATAGAAATATTTGTGTATTAATTAGTTTTTCCTTTTAATTGCTAGAAGCAAGGAAAATATTTTAAAGTTGGTAATTCAAAAATAATAACTCAACTAGTAAAGACTTATTGTAGTTCCAGCATTGTTGTCAACATGAATTAGCACATTTTTCTTTATTATATAACCAATAATTAACCATATAACCGATCTCTGTTAGTTTCTTGTCTGAAGATTAAAAAAATGGATTCTCATATCTGAATGTGAGAATGTGCAAGTGGATCTTTTCGAAAATTTTGTCTCAGATCATTAATTAAGTGTCACTATTTTAATTAAGCTTGTCACAGTCTAATCACTAATGTTACATGACATTAATTTTTTCAGCAATAGCACTAGTACTAGAATTTCTCAACATTTTTATATTAACCTATAAATTTTTATTATGAAAAAGAAAATCAGAGAAACAAGGAGGAAACGAAAACGACAGGTCATTTTATAAAATTTATATCATATCAATTTTTAATTTATTTAGGACCAAAATTAGATTATTTTTTGTTTTGAAATTATCCTATTATCTTGATTTATTTTATATTGGTACAGTCTGATTAATATTTTGTATCTTTTTTAAAACATTATGAAGTTAGTCACAAGTAGAAGAACACAATATCATATATACTTTTGTAAGATTTACGCAAAAAAATCTCTAGATATTTTTATTCTTTAAAATATGATAAGTTAAGAGAAAATTAAAGACGATAAGATTAAAAATACATCTCAATATGTTACAATGATAAAAATAAACAATATTAAGCAAAGACAAAAACTTGGATCACACTAATGAAAAGAAATTAATCAAGAGATGAGACTCAAGACTCAAAATTGAATCTACTAAGCTAATTAAATATCCGATAAAAGAAATTTAAATGATATGATAGAAAGTTTTTGAATACCTTGTAGTTTGCTACTCAAAATTATTGAAATACTTTGTAACTTACTAATCAAGATATTATACCTTATTTAATTTCAAGAGGAGTAACATAATACGTTTTAGAGGCAGGATTTGGGTGTTTATTACCTGTTAGCCCAAACCCAAGGTGAAAAATTTAATGTTTCATTATTTTTAAACTTAATACATAAAATATATTTTACACATAAATTTATTTGGGATGGTTCACTTTTTTTATTTTAAAAAGTTTTATTTTTATAAAAGTAACAACTCACCTAATAATTCGGTATGGTTATAAATTTAAATAAAAATCTATCATTTTATCGGTTAAGTCAACTATTAACGCCCTAAAATAATAGAAAAAAAACTACATCACTATTTGTAAAGAACTAAATGGATTGAAATAAAAGAAATATTCTATTTTCATTACAGATTCTAAACTAAGGAAAAATAAATATTTATAATTTATGTAGATCCTAAACTAATTAGAATGAAAGTAAAAATTCAATTAACTGGTTTCCGTCAAGTATAGTTGATAATCACATTTTACAATATGAATTTGAACTAAAAAGAAAATAAGTATTTTATCATTAATCACAGGTAGATCCTAATTTAGAGGGGAGAGTAATTACTTTAAAATATCTCTAGTTATACTTTTAACAATTCTGACAAGACTAAAATATTTATAGCAAATATATTGGACATAAAATACATACTAACATGGCTTAGAAGCATAATGAGACAAAAAGAAACATTTTATTTTGAAGAATGTATTGTGTATGTATAAATTACAAGGAAGAGAGCAGACTTGGTCATCTCTCTTTCAGCAAATAAATACAAGTGAAAAATAAATCAGTATGTTGAAGTATGAAATTATGCTAATCTTCTCTGTATCGTTCCGATGAACCATGAAGTATACATTAGTTCGGGTTTGTTTGGTCTATGATGACTTATTAAGTAGGGATGTGAGACTAATGAAGTAATCTTCACTGCATGGAATTGTTAGACCACCCATTGGATGGCTGTACCCAAACTCTTCTTTAGCCCAATGTAACAAATCTTGAAACAAAGGATGGTTCAAATGTGCTATTGGAACAACAAATCTCCTACATGTTTCACCAACATATACTACAAAATGTCCCTTTGGAACATAATTAGTCGTGGTTGTTGGTGATACACTTTCATTTTTATGTGAAATCGATCGTCGAAGTTTGTTTTTGGCATGCGATATACCAACTAAACCTCTTCCCATTTTTCGAGAAAAAGTAAGTGAACAACAGGGTGATATTCTCAAAAAAAAGAAAGAAAGAAATAAAAACAAGCTGAGATGTAAGAGTGAGTAAGACTAGCTAGGTTATAGCAAAACAACAGAGGAGCTAGATAGCTTTGACCAGAGGAAGAGGATTCAGGTCACCCGTTCCCTTGACTCAAACACGAACTTACTTGAAAAATTGAAGAGCAGGAATAATAAAATTGTATTGACTAGTGTTTGCAATGGTACGTAGCTTTTGAAAAGTAAAGTGTTATATATATAGGGACACTAGTACATTCATCAAATTATGAATAAAGAAGAGTCTAGTAAGTGAATTTGGTAAAACATATGGTTAGATATTAGCAAAATATCACATGGTATTTGGCTTAATATATATATTAAGACAACATGTGTTACCACTTTAGGGTACAAAGAAGAATAATAAGCAGATTACACAATATAAAAAATGTGATATGCTAATATATGTATCTAGTTATTCTCTACAAACACTTACACTCACTACATTTCAAAATTTACGATTGTTTGTTGATACCTAATAAGTTGAGAATCCCAAAGAGTTTGTTCTCTATTATAGGAGCATTGAACTTAAACTTGCATTATTTAGTCACATATTTACAATTAAAACTAAGTGGGGTCATTGGGATAATATATTTAGATTCTTGATATTGGAGCCTCAACTCACCTTGTACAATTTATTTAATTGAGTCAGGTTAGTTGATTAAGATTTGTATTTGGATTCTCTACTTAAAAGATTAATTCCAACTTTGTTCAAGAGTAAAAATGCCTTATTTGATAGAGATTTCTTGTCGAGAAATATTGGATTTTAACTTTCTTAACATGTTTGTTTCTGGAGTTTAAGTTTTATACATTATTTTTCTTTATATTGTATTATTAGTTCGTCCAAAAAATATGTATAAGTAAGCTTTTTAAAATTGTGGGATAAAATACATTGTTTGCTCCAACATGTAAAGCGAGCGATATGATCGATGATACATTAATTATTGAGTAAATTTTAAGTTTAGCAAACATATTAGCGCTTATGTTTGCTATGGAACATCTCAGTTGTATAAATCGCAGCCAGTCAACTCGTTTGTATAAAAAGCGCAACGATTGTATATATATATATATATATCAGTTAGATAATTGTATATATGTAACCACTATGTATATGTATCAATGATTGTGTTTGTATATCTGCATAAAATTTGAATTTGTATACAATTGAATCGAATTAAAACATTTGTATATCAAATCTCTCTCTCTCTCTCGCTTTATACAACACAAATTATACATTGTATATTTTTGTATAATTTGTGTTTGTATAAAGCAAGAAAGAGAGAAAGGCAAAAGAGAACTGGGCAGGGAAAGATTTGTATTGTATAATTATAATTGTATAGGACGAAGAGATATGTATTTGTATGTGTATATACAATTTTCTCTCGCTTTATACAAACACAAACACAATTTATACATTTGTGTTTGTATAAAGTGAGAGAGGCGAAGGAGAGTGGCGAGCGAGATTTCTGGGGAGAGAGGCGAGTGGCAAACTGTTTGCTACAAATTAGAATTAAATGAAATTGTGGTTATAGCATTTATTTTGAATTAATAGTTTACTATTTTATACAATTTTCCCTTTTTATATTAACAATGTATATTAGTTAAACTCTTATTTGAGATTAGGTGTATCATTAGATTCCTAACAGCTTAGTTGCCACATGAGCATAATTTGCCACATCATCAATAAAGACATAAAATTCCATGTCACAACATGACACGTGAAACTCTCACATCGAGCTGTCCGCAACCCCCCCCCCCCCCCAAACCACGGCCCAAAACTTTTTGCTAATTTTGTAGTAAAACTTACTTAATAAGTGGAGATTTTTTATTTAATTTCAAAGGATTCTTTTTAATAGTCAATTAATTAAGTTATTAAAATTTTCTTCAAAGGATTCCTCTCATATATATTGTCGTGATCTCTCAGAATTACTATTGGTTCAAGCAATCATTTCTTGATTTGGTTCTCTTCTGTCATTAGTTACAAGGTGAGAACCATTACTAGTTATTAGTTTATGGATAATGAGTTAATGATTTTGTTAACAGTTTCAAACTTTTATTTTTGGTTGTCTCAAACTCTTGGTTATTCTATAATGTGTTAGTGTTTGCTTTGAACAAGATGTAATATGTCAACTCATGTACATGGTTCATTTGGTTTGTCACCTTGTTCAATGATTTTGTTTGTTAAATCTTAATGGCTAAACCAATAACCGAACCGATAACGATCAATAACCAATAAAATCAATAACTGATAACAATAAGTCAATATCTTAAAGATTGTATAATGATTTAGCATGTCTACAAATCAATAACTGATAAGTCGAATCGATAAACTTCAAATCAAATGAAATCGATCGATACATAACCCTAAATTTGAATTTGTTAAAGCATCTAAGTTTTGAAGAATGTCAAAGTGCATACAAGTGTATTATCTAATACGAGTAGAGGAAGGAGTTCATGATTAATAAAGTTTTCTTATTCAATTAAGGAAAACTATTTCTCATTCAATTAAGGACAACTATGCGACAATTTTCCTTTCAAAGCCGAGTGCAAGGATGAGTCCTAGTCAAGTTCGTTTTAAACAAGGCTTTTTAGCAGTGAAGACAAGTTCGAGTTGAACAAGGACTTTGAGGAGGCGTGATCTATAAATAGGACAATAGTTTCTTTGAAGAGAGGTGCGCACTTACATTGAGAGTAATATCAAAACACGATCAAGAGTTTTGTGAGAGTTTTGATTTTTATTTTGGGGAGTGCTGCGAGTTGAGAGAAATATTGTTCGATTGTAGTCAAGAGTTTTTGAATACAATCAAGTGTTTGTTAGTAGGTTTCGTTTGACAAGTTTGAATAACTTGAAGAACGATAGAAGACTTAAACATGGGGTTTTTGTCTTGGGTAGTTAGGAATTAGAGTTTATAATTCCTTAGGTTACAAAGTTTTGTAATCATTGTGTTATTTGAAGGTGTTATAAATATGTAACATCCGACAATTTGGAATAGTTTTGAAGAGGCTTAGAATTGGAAATTTTCATTTTTGGAGAGAATTTAAAAATACTGGAAAATTTTGGCCAAGTATGGAAAATGTGAATTTTTGGCCAACTTTGAACAGCCATAAATTCTAGCTCAGGATGAGTTAGGTAGAGTTCCAGTTATGGTTGCAAAGTTCGTGGAACGATCTTTCCAACGCCACTGAGTTTGCTCAATTCCGAGTTCGTATGAGTGAGATATGTCCTTTGAAAGTTGGGCAATTGACAAGGAAATCCGTCCGGGAATTTTTAAGGGCATTTTGGTCCTTTCCCTAGCTATTTCTTTTGAGGATATATTCGTGTGTTAGTCTGATAGTTGGATCATTTTGTTCCATTTTAAGAGAGTGAAGGCTAGGGCTTGAGAGTGAAGAAGAGAGGAAGAAGAGAAGAAGGAGAAGGAGAAGAAGAAGGGAAGAAAGAGGAAGATCAAGCAAGTTCCGTCAAGATCATCGTGGAATTTCGTCGGGGGTGATCCCTACCAAGGTATGTGAGCTTTTAGTGTTGGGTGATCCTTTCCCCCACACACCTAGCCCCTTTTACTTATCAAGAAAGGATTGGCTTTGTTGATAAAGTTGTTAGTTGTTGTGGTTGAAGTTGTTGGAGTTATTAAAGTTGTTAGTTGTTAGTTGTTGTTGTTGTTGGAATTATTATTGGT